TGGCCGTGACTTTTTTCACGCCGTGTTCACGGCGTGAAGGAGAAATTTCACTCACATTCCAATAATATTTTTCCATTTCACGCCTTGGAGCGTGAAAATAGCCCCAGCGTGAAATTTAGATAAGCCACCTTTTCGCGTGAAGGGTCACAATTATTCGACTGAATTAAACGAATTCAATTTTGAAAATAATAATCATTTTACAGCGAACACATTCTCGTGTTGTTGTTTAATCAAGAACGTCAGTTTTCAGTTCTGTTTCAGTTCTCTTTCAATTCAATTCACGTTTGTTCAACTATTAGAGAAAATAATTATGGGAATTTAGAGAGCTTTCAACACTTTTACACCCGTTTAACCATAGATTTACATTGCTTCAGCTTGTTATGTTCAAGGAACTCTTATCAGCCAGTTTAAATTTTGTCCAATTCCGTCACTATTCTCTTCCCTTGTTGTCCTAAAACTAGTTCGTAGGCGGGTTCAATGGGGTGGTCTCCCCGGGCATTAACACCTCCGTCATGCTCCTCTCTCGATACTGCCGACTACGTTGACGCCTCCTGTAACCATTGTAGACCATCATGGCCAAGATTCCAGCCAAAATTGTAGCACACACGCTTAGAGTAACAGCGGCCCCTTGGGACATCGGTTTAGTTTGGTCACCTGAAACAAGGGGGTCGAGAGAGTCATCGTCATCACGAGCCGCAAAAGAGGCCAGGGTCCAGTCAGCGTGCGAATCGTTCTTGTACCATACTTCACCATTTACTCCGACCACCATTAACGTTTTAGTTGCGTTTGGATTGACTTCTGGTCTGGGGTTGTAAGGGGGTCGCTTCACCACTAGCCTGGAGGATAGCTTAGCCAAAGAGTTGGCTTTCACGCAGTAGTTAATTTCACATTCGTTATCTACAGCTAAAAGATGCTGGCTGTATCCTCGCGGGCAGCTTTGTGGGCCTTGAAACTTTCCAGCCTTACCTCCTTCGAGAAAGACCTCAACGGAGGGAACTCTGTTCTTGGGCTTCTGCTGAAGATTTTTGTCACCCTGAGGTTTCTCGTCCGAAGGAGATTTCGAGCTTCGGACAGCGAGAGGGTTTCCTGATGTGCAGCTGAAGAATCCTGCAAACTGCAAGGCAAACTGAAAGCCTTGTTCATAGTCATCGCTTACACAAACGTGGGAATGTCCGCCAAAAGGCATGGAATAGAACCTGTGCGGGCAGCTTTGAGACCCAGTCACCGGATTTGGCTCGGTGGAGCTGTAAACTCCGCCAAATAACATCCCGCTGTTAGCTTCCACCGATCCGATGGCAGCGCACCAGAAAGCTTGAAAATGCACCATGCTATAGTGAAACACATTCTGACATGAAAGGTGACAACAGCTCTTCAACCAAAGAAATCCACAGCTGTTACAAATCTTGCGACAGTGCGTCTGATGATAAGCCTTTGTCACCACGGGCATTTCGCCTGAACGGGGCTTTAACAGGTCCACTGGCTGATACCCCCCGGGGCAAGAGAAATCCCCGGTTAAGGGATTCTTTTGTTGTAGCTTCTCACACAAATTTCCGGCACTGTTGTATCTCGTTGTGTAACACTTTTGGTACACGCCTCCGAACGTGAAATTGGTGTTTTCAGCCTGGCAACTCCCATCGTCAACGTTGGCTTCAAAGTTGAACCTTGGCGAGGATACATCTGTACATCCCCCTACAGTGTTTACTTTATAATACAAGCGAACGGCCCGTTGTACAATTTTGGCCAAGCGATAAACCGTCGGTTCGGGCAAGCCGGGCAGCGTTGCGGTTGTGATAGCATAGTACAGTGGGTCACCGCTTCTGTCAATGGCCACGAGTTCATTTGCCAGTCCCTCTTCCCACTCCTTAATGCTAAAATTTGTCCTGTATGGTGGGCCACCATACGTTGCCACGCGTGAGGCAGTTTGACTGCTTTGAAACTTGTTCATTTTTACGTTACTCTCATTGTGTCCGAAACCCGCTTTTATATTCAGCGCCTTAAAGAAGGTTGCTGTGGCAGCGACTTTGATGTCGTGTTCAGAGAGCGATTTGTACTGTATATCGCTTTTATTGACATGTGTCTCTTGAACTAGAGTAGCGCCAGCGTCGACAGACGTTATAATATGGGTGCCGTATTCTCTGATGAGTAACTGCGCGCTGTACCAAGCTTGTTTTGTGCGATTGTTTTGTAGTTCTGCCGCAATCTGCATCAGTCTGCTTTTAAACACGGGATGAAGAGCCGACTCGGGGTGCGTTTTAACCACGTAAAATAGATGTCGAATCTGAACTCGCGCAGTGACTGCATTGTCTGCAACCTGCTTCTCTTTGTTGTACTTGAAATCCGCGGCGAACGAGCCGCTCGCAACTGAGTAAGATGCCTCGAGGTTTACAGAGTTTGCCGTGGTACTTGTATAGCTGTTCCAATGATCGAAAACTTCGGAGAACATGTCCACTTTGCTGCGTTTGACCGGAGTCACGAAAGCGTTATCTGGCAGAAGATATTTTCTATCCGCGGTGGTTTTACACTGAGAATAATTCGTCGCCAGGACCTGTCCCATTTCGATGTTTCGCAAGTTGTCCCATCCAAAGCCAGGCAAAACTTCCAGGCGGTTCATATCATCGCCGAGATAGAAGCAATTTTTTGGATCCCCGATCGGGCACGGATTCCAACCTGGCCATAATCTCGATATCTTGGCAGATCGTTCTTCAAGAACATCTTCACAGACGCTTTGCACGGTAAGTAGAGAGACAGCGCAAATAACGGTCAATATGAAAGCGCCCATAAGCTGAATATCGTTTGCGTTTGCCGTGGAGTTACGAGGATTGCTTCAGTTAGGAATAGTTGCAGGTATACGTTGAAAAGCTTTATAATACTTGTCAAAACGTATAAACTAGGACAAAAGATTGCGTTATGTTGAAAATCCCGTAGTTGTGCAATAGCGCAACAAATACACGCCTCCCGGCCTCCCGTCGCGCACCGCCTCAAGTAGTGAGTAGTGAGCTTGCAGTCCGCCTTTTCCCTTAAAATCCGTCTAGTTCTTATTTCATCCAGCGCGATTGCTTATGCCCTCGCGTGCTTAGGTTTCGCATGCAGTAACTTTGCAAAGAAAATAAGAGACTGCTCGCAGTCTACGAGCAAACGCTAATAAACACTGCGTTTATACGGGTCTTTCATTTTCATTTTGTTATAAAGTTTGTTGTTGTTTTTAGCTACACAGTTCAGTAAAAGCTCTTCAAATCCTGCAGAACAAGGACAAAAATGAATTGCGTCTGCCTTTAGACGTGATTGCTATGTAGGGGTCGTATAAAGTGCTTGCAGTGACAAGATTTAGCGCAAATTGTTGGGTTTTTCATATGCCTGCGTAGCAAGCGCAAAAAGGGGAAGGGGAGGGAGGGAGAATCCCAATCCCCCTCCCCTTTTCTCTTCCTTTCTATCCCCTACCCCTTCGACGTCTGCTACTCAGGCTAGCGGATGTGTGACTCTTGTGACAATTCTTCCCCCCAGTTCTCAGCCGCTTATGAAGAGACGGACATATCAGACTAATCTATGGCACAAGAACTGTGATAAATTGTCCGTTCTAGTGATATATTTTTGTCAATTTTTTAGACTCTCGCTGAGTGATTTGCTCAGACATTTTTAGAAGGCGTAGCAAAAAGCATGACAAGGCGAAGTCTCAGTGCGAAATATGCCTCCCGGCTCTCGCAGATCGTGGTGTCTTTACAGCACAGGTTTGTGTCAACAGTTCACTACACTCTTTTGCCTAAAGAACCCTTTCTCATATAAACTTCGAGGCTGTTAACCATGTTGGAGCTCACATGCAAATTCTCTAGACTGACCTCAGCCATACATTCCTCGAAAAATAAATTGAGAGAATTTGTTAAAGGATCATGTAGTTAATTCATGTAACCTATCTTCTTGATTATGGTCACTTTTGAGACTTGAAGGGTTAATTCAGTAAAGCCTGAGGTAAAAATTCCTACAGGCTGCCAACCCCACTTATAGTTCATTAGCTTAAGGTTGTTTTGAAGCTCAAAATAATTACCATTGCAATAATCGTGAAATTATTGTGTTTATTGTTACACGATTTTAAAACAGACGATGAATGATTCGTCAGCGATTTTCTAATTCCGCTTCTTATACCTCCAGCCCCCGGCACTGGTTCTGATTTCGTTCGACTCAGCCGATGTGTTGTGCGTTTGAATCGTCCTTATGTTGTTTTTTCAGCAAAAAAATCATTTATGATACGTGTTACCGCTTAGAGTTCATTGTTTCACTAAAAAGCGTTTAAAATAAGGCATTGTTATCTTTTTAAAATCCGAAAGATCTTTCCAAGTTTTCGTCTGTTTTGTAGCATCTTCTCCGCCTAATGAATCATCGTGGTTTCGTCAAATCAAATAACGTTGGCAACGATACATAAACTTTCAACATGCAATGTGCTTTTCTAAGCAAGTACAATTCTTGAATTCGTGAAAGTTACGTAACACCATCTACTCAGAATGTGTAGTAAAGATCTACCATTTAACTTAAAATGAAATATTCCCACTATTCCTCCCCTTCTATTGGTGGCCCGCGGATCTTCACAATCGACAACTGCCTCTATTTGACATTATATTAACTTAACTTAAGCTTTTTTTCTTTTATAAGGGCTGGAATAGATGATTAAGCCTACAGCTGGCGGCGAAAAACTCTTGGGGCAGCACTGCAATGAAGCTCTGCTCAGCTGACTGGTTTTGAGTTGACCTTTCAGGAGCGGTGAGTTCTGTATAACTTCTCTCGAGATGTTTTTTCGCACGCGAGCATCTTTTCAATGAATGCGCGGTTAGTTCCGCTAGTCCGCCATACTTTGTAAAAAATACTTTATGAACATCAGACCAACTGTAATAGATAGTTCCTCTTTCGTTCCTAACCTCTCGAACTCCAGAAAAATCCCCTGCAGCTAAATTCCAAACGCGCTGTATTCGTCCGAGAGGCATCTCGCTAACTTTGATGCGTAGAAATGCTTCTCTGTGATTTCGAATCCATGAAGGAAGTTCAGGCGCGCTAGTGTTTAATATCACCCAAGTCCATAACCAACCAGGTAAATATCCGTATTTGCCCGAAGAGTAAAACCTCTCTGAGAGATAGATTTTTGTCACTGTTCGAGACATTGAAACTAGTTTATATATTTCGTAAAATGACTTGAACGGATGTCTTATTTGTAGATCAAGCTCGAAGTCTCTTCGAAGGCGTTCCTTCCACAACGGGTCGCTCTGCATGATGCCATCGCGAAGGCGTCGGCAAGTTTGGCAAAGTCTTATTACCGATTTTGTATCGACGTAAAGTGAAACGTAAAGGAGAATTTCATTACTTAGGCTTGTAAAGTAGCATCGTTTGCTTTCGACCTCCTCGTTAAAAGTTTTCCTCTCGTTTTGGAAGGTATAGTCCATGTGAAATTCGAGAAAACTCTACGTGCATGCAGCGGCAATTTCGGATGTGGCACGCCGCGCAACCCGAGTGTCTCTTTTCGTCTTTAGTGGTAATTTTCTTTGTGCATGTCACCATTTCTTAAATCTGTGACGAGCATTTTTGTGCTTAATAGGAGACATAAATTAAACAAATGACATTAATTTAAAGTTTTGTTCTTTTTAAATTAGGTAATTATCTGACGTGCACAATTAATTATAAATTGTTTTACGGTCGCCAAAATAAAGTGACCGTAAACTGTAATCTAAATCTTCGTATCTCTCTTCATTGAAATTTTTGGCGCACAAGACGGCAAAACGGCGAAACTGGACCCGCTGTTTTTGCCCTTCCCATTAGCACAGCATCTCGCTTCTTTTCAGTCGTTCGCTTCGTCCCGAGCGATATCTCGCAGCAACTGTGGGAAGGTTGACTAAAATCTGTTAGGGTAATTTGATTACTAGAAGTATGATAGACAGATCTAGCAGGTCAACGTCACGCCAGCGCCGTAGAAATATTTAGATCTAAAAACCGACTTAACCGATGGAAGAACGGTAAATTCAGCAAATAACAGTAGTCGCGTTAAGTTTTTTTTCTGCGCGCTTTCGCGTTCTCGTTTGATGTTGCATAATTGTCTTCACTAAATCTCCCCAATGCTTTAAAATGACGACGTATGGCTCACTTTGATGTTTGCGGCATTGCAATTGCCAATGAGCTAAGCTTATCCTGCCCCAACCTCGTCCCCAGATTCTTCTCGAGTAGGTGAGGACATTAGAACGCGGATGATTGTTTCCACGTACTTCATTACTCGTTCGAGAAAAGAAAGCTGTCAAGGCTCTATGCGCGCGCAAAGCAGCGCAGTGTTGACGCGCGCAGGCGACTGACGTCAGAATCAGCGGTAGGATGTCAGCCTGTCCCGAACAGATCGAAACTACATGGCTAGTTGTTTTAGGCCGTCGATACGCGGTGGAAGTCTCATCGCGAAGAAATACCGTTGCTTGGGTCAAATTGGCGAAGGATCCTTTGGAGTTGTATACTTAGGAAAGAATGAGGAGAATAGAGAACAGGTAGCGATAAAAATTGAGTCCCAACACTCTTCTCAACCGAAAACGCTCTTGGACGAAGCGCGTTTGCTCAGTACACTGCATCGAGCTAGCGGAAATGGAATTGCGGTAAGGAAATCTTTAAAATGGTAGTTGACTGAGCAATTCATTTGAAGCCTAATGTGGAAGTGCTGTCGCCTTTCAAAAAAAGACTATTGGATAAATTGCAAAATTCCCGGTCCACCTGATAGCCATGTTAACACGTTAACACGTTGATCCTTTAATCCCTCAGTCCAGTCCAGTCCATACTTTCGAATGTTACTTCCACGCAGCCCTGCAGTCATTAACTTGGGGCCTTAAGCAACAACAACAACGACGGCAGTGAAAACATCACTAAAAAATGAATTTGCGTCCTTTCAAACTTTATCGCGTCTATTAGAAACTGCACAATTCGTAAAATGTAGGCGAGTTTTCCTGAAGTTGAATTCTTAACGACTTTGTCCATGTTCAAATGGAGAAAGGACAATTTGTCGTCGTATGTCCACTTCCTCCACAAAACGTCGCATTGGGAGGTTTCACGTCGTAGTCGTGCAGTGGACGTCAACTGAAACATCGGTGTACTAAAAAGTGTGATGCACGTGCATAGCAGTTGTTTTGCTCATAAAATCAATTGTTTTTTGGCTTTGTCGTTGTCGCGTCGTCGCCGTAGTTGCTTAAGCTCCTCGAATGCTACCTGTCCTAGACCTCGTTGTTGATGTGAACAGCAACTCTAAGACTTAAACCGCATGTACTTCTTTGTAAAAACCATTCGCCTCTGAAGATAGTTTTCCCGTCTTTCCTCATAACTGCGGTATATATGGCAAATTTTACTGTCGTTATTCTGGAATAATACGTCGTAAAAGAGAAATCGATATTGATATCGGCGCAATATAAGTTTTGTTATTGATATCGGCGCAATATGTTTTGTTATTGATATCGGCACAATAATAAGTTTTTTGCGAAAATGAAGGCCCCGTGCACTACGAATCCGGACATTTTTGAAACGGCTTTTTTTTCCCAGATGCGTGTGGACGGAGAAACCACTCTGGACAGCTGTTTCAAAAATATCGGATTTGTCTGGACATGACCTAAATTTTAGGAGCCATGGAGCGAGCTGCACGTGTGCACGGCACGTGGTTAGCTGTGAGATTTTGAGAGAAGACATTTTTTGGCTTCACACTAGAAGCGAAGTTAGTTTCAAGTAAGCACTTGATTTAAGTGCACTTGGAAATCTTAAGTCGCTCTGTAGAGAACATGGCTTCACACTGGTTGACAAAGTATATTACTTGAAGTAAAAGCTGTCAATCTCTCCGTGCATTAGAATCTTGGAAATGCTGCACGTGCAC